TTCCTTCCTGCCAACAGCCATCACCTTAAAAAACAAATCTGACTGACTGACGGTTGACTGACTGAATGATTGTTGTTGTTGTTGTGTGGAATATATGTTATATTGATTTTATAAAAAAAAGAGAGAAAGTGAGCTTTTACAAGATTGAATTTCCCTTCTGGGATAAATAAAGTATTTTTCATTTCATTTCATTAGAAATGGCCAATTATGCTTCAGTTAAATCTTTCAGATCATCGATAATTATGTTAGTGTAAATAACCTTAGTCAGTATTAAACTTGAATAATAGCAAATTATTTTTGCTCTCCAGATCTTCAGGTCTAACTTTGAATAGAACCATGTGTGAATCAAATGAAAATTTCAAAAATAGGTCAAAAGTTAATGTAATTATTTTGCTTATTTATAATATTATGAACACTGCCCAAAGGGCTCTACAGGTTGAAGTCCCATTTAAAAGCATAGTTCATCACAAATATACAACAAAAACAATTAACAGTAAGATAGCAATTGAACTTATCTAACTCAGGTTTAATGTCAACAGTGAATTAAGTAGAAGAAAAAAATGGTCACAAAATGGTCAATATTACAATTTATTACAATCACAAAACAGCAGAACAATCAGATCAATAATTTAACAATAAAAAATGCAGCGTGCATCTTTGTTGCATTACATTCAATGTTATTATTTTCATGTTGTAGTTTTCTTTAACACTAACGTTTGTTTTTTAAGAAATTAGAATTACAGGTTAACGTTAAAACATGCTGGTCAATTTGGCCCACAGTGGCGGCGCCAGATATCACAGCGGCTCAGGACTATCTATCCATCTGATCCATGAAGTTTTGTCTTCCCCTGTCTTTTGCTTTTTATTTTTAATTAGCATCTTTTCTGGAGCCTCATTTGTTTTTCCTTCATCTTCATCAGAATTTTTCTTCCTGTTTAAGAAAGGAAACAGCATTGTTAAACTATGAGGAGTGATGGGCTACTTTAAATCAAAAACTACATAAACTAATTAATAACATAATAAATTCAATACACGTTGACTTATAGTTGTAATAGTGTTGTTGGGTATTTATTTAATTATCATAGACATCAAATTCAGTCACTTAATCAATCAAAATAATTAAACAAAGCTACAGACGTAAGATTAGCTAGGCTAGCTAACTTGGCTAAATAGGCTAATGGTAGTTTTTAACTTTTAAACAATAAAAAAAACACACAAATACGAAAAATCTCTGACCTCTTCCTTTTGCTGCTGTCTTGAAAAATCTCGTCTAGGACTGCTTGAACTGCTTGTCTTTTTTTATCCTTCTTTGAGACATTTTGGTGACAGAAAGCTGCCATTAAGTGTCCGGTCATGGTAGTTGGCTACGTAGCTGCAAGCATTAATGTGATTTGTGGATTGTTGTATATTCTGTGTTCTGATTGGCCAACACAGATAGAACTTTATAACACCCAGTTTAGAGAAATCGCAGATAGAACTATCTGTTTTTGTTAATTAAAAGCTAAAAAAAAATCATGTTTAAAAAAATAGTATTGTATAGATAATGTGTCCAAGAATCAGAAAATGTAAATAACTCAATTTTGCCGAAAATGTCAGATAGAAGTTTATAATTCTAAGGTGACGATGTGTGTCTGCATGCTCATTTTGTATTTGCTCATTTTATTTTTTTTTTTTGCATGGATGTCTGAGCTGATGTAATGCATTAGCTTGCTGCGTCCCAACAATACCCTCCTTCAGTTTCATTGCAGCCCCTAGTAAAGAAGCACAGCCTTTGTGTGTCTGCCAGCCTACGAGCCCAGATCCTATTGTAAAACTGAGCAAACCGGTCTGCTGAGGTCGTTGACTAACATAGAGAGAAGAGTCCAAGGATAGGGAGGGAGACAAGAAATGGAGAATCAGCAATGGAAAGTTGTTTTTTTTTTTCCTCTTTTTTTTTTTATAGCAGGGAGGATGCACAAAACAGAGTGGAAGTCAAAGGTTGAATGACAGAATAGAGGCAAAAGAAAGAAAACTTGATTGTCTGCAAAGTGAAGTGACTCATTCAATATTTTCCCTCTTCGACTCCACCCTTTTCCTTCATAAACACCACATGCAGTCTTTTTCCATATCAGCAAACTCTTTCCTGCCATTGACAATTTCATTCTTTCTATCCTCACCGAGGTTTTTTCTTTTCCCTTTTCCCCTCCCCCTTTCTTGTCTTACAGCAAAGCCTCCTCCTGGCCTGCATGCAGCAAAATTTTGGCTGTGAGGACGGGAGGTACACCGAATACAGCTTCTCCCTTTCTCTCTGACGCACACGCACCATGGAGGTCACAGCACCATCTTCCTAGTAAAGATTGCAGCTGCCAGGATTTCCTTGTTGCTTCCCAGCAGCCCAGAGGAGCAGTACAAGGTCCTCCAACAGCACCCCCCACCACCCACCCCAAATAAAATCTCCCTCTCCCTCTCCCTCATCTCCATGAGTGTTGACTCAGCTCCACTGGTCCTGCTATCAATTTACTACCCCTGTCAAGACCAGGAGGCCCAGGCTTACCGTAAAATACCTCCTCCTCTGGTTGACATGGTTGACTAAAACTGGAAGGATAGGAGAGAAAAAGAAGGGGGTTTGATTTATTGTTCAGCACAGGACTGTGGTTTCCCACTGGAATAAGTACAGTGAGGCGCACAGGACAGGGACTCTGCTGAAAACAATCAGCCTCAAGAACCTGCACAACTGAATCAAGAAACACCCCAGATAGACCAAAAAAAAAAACAAACCAGACTGACATTGAGTGATAGCCTCTGCTCTGAAAAAATGTGTCTGAGTCACTGTTGTGCAAAATCACGTTCTCTGCTACTCCACTGGCATAACACTGTACCTGTCCATGAACACAGCCTTCAAACGCACATGATCTCCACTATACCTGTTATTGCAGTTGTTATGGCAACAAAAAGTTTTCAATCTGGGAGCTTGTCAAACTTGTTTGTGAGTCATGGACATGTTACATTAAACAGAATTCACAATGTCACAGTGTCATTTGAGTTGGCTGAATTTCAAACAGTTAAATTCTGTTGGAAAATCCCTCTCATCCTTAATGCATTTTCTATCTGCAAAACCAACAACTGACTCTACTGTTATATCTCCCTGAGGTAAAAATCTGCATCATTTTACCAAACAAAAAAAAAAAGTTTGCTCATGTATAACCACTCTTTGTGCCAAGTCCCTCAACACACCATCCATTGTTGCTGAATTGCTTCAAACCTTAATGAAAATAATAGGACCACCAAATGTAGACCTAAACAATGACATGCAATGTATTGCACAGGTTAGTGCTGCTATCACCTCATTTATGGTAGACCTCAAACAGGCATTTAGATTTTTGGGGGCAATTTTAAGTAGTCAGCTAATAATATTTACTTCAGTAGTTAGTCTCTAGGTGTGCTATAAAAAGAAGCGAGGTGGCCTGCTCTTTAGATAGTATGTAAACCACACAGTCGAAGCCTACGTGTGTCTACGTGATGTCTGACATTTCGGTTTATGACCTCCCATTAAACACATGAGCTGTTGTGCGCAACATCTGTTAATAGACACTTAGCATTAACAGACACCTGATTTTGGTTCCAAAGCAGACCAGACCTGCAGACCAGAGTGTGCAGAAAACTGGTGTAGTTAATTGTGTGCATGCAGAGACAGAGCTTATTATTCTTCTGTGCACAACCTCTAGATTACTTTCAATATTAGACTGTAAAAATTCTCTAGGAAGAATGTAGCTTGTTGAGCATGCAAAATATCTTAAAGCTTCCTTGGAGGACATATTGGCTGTTAGTGAACAGAGTACCTTCTTTTTCATATTATATGTAAAGAAACATACAGTTGCATGTAAAAACATGTAAAACTCTGCATATATTTTCACATTAATGATTACATTTGTGAAACATTTTCTTGCAAATGTCTTTTTACCCCAAAATGCATTAACACAGTTCCACCCTGACCCACTGAACTCTGACCTCTCGTCCATGCTCTCTCTTGTAAGCTTGTTGCCAAAGCAACCAGCTCAACAAAGAATGATGGCAGTTTTCTTTGTTCATCTGTCTGAATGTGTTTATGGCTCACTCAGTGTGATTGTCATTCTTCATGTTAAATTATTGTCTTTCCTTGGAGGGTGTCACTTTTTATTAGCTCAATGCCCTCACTGGTTGTAGACTTAGCTTTTTTGGGGACAAAAAATATTTTTTACAGAAGCAATGACACCAAATGGCAGTACATTTCACAGCAAGGATCAAATCAAATCAAATCACAAAGGTGATAAATAACAGAAGCTGAGAGAAGACTTATTCATGTGTGTCTAGATGTATTTTTACAACACTTTTGTTGACAGGACAAATGATTAAAATAAAAAAATGCAACAGTCCTCTAAGTGTAAATCATGGCTTCAGTATTTATTCCATAACTTCAAACAGACCACACAATATTACAAAATATTAAGTGCTGCATGTCATACAAAAACTGTCCAAAAAAAATCAGAAAAAATGGGTATAAATACAAAACAAATTATGTACAAATACCAAAAAATAATGCTCATTGAAAAAAAACTACAAATTCTCTAATCTACATAAAAAAAAACACACACACCAATGCACCGAGACACCCATTTCCCAAGTTGTCAAATACACACTCAAACACACATTTTCAAGTTTTGTTAGGACAGGACAGTTAGCTTATCTCTACAGTGTAGAAGGAAAGCCAAAAAAAATTAGATCAGCATGAAATTTAAATTTTCAAATTTCTAGAACGCTTCCAAAAAACCTTTAACACATAAAAGTCAGCTGCTATGTCCCTCGCCCGAATGTCTTTGACATTTATAAGCATTGCAACGCAACACTGAGGAAAGAATTCATGGGCCTAAAATCTGAACAGTAAAGATTTAAACTCCTCATTGTTTCTGCTAGATCAACAGATGTCATTCATTTTAAAACAAGAGGGAGAAGAAATCGATCCTCTAATTACACCTCACTTACATCAATTAACCCCCTTTCCAGCACACCTGCAGCACAGATGCTGCATCTCAATTATTTTGGGTTATTTCCAAAGAAATACAATAGTAGTTTTACACTACTAAATCAAAAATCACCAGCTAAAATCAACTATCTAACTCAGACAAACAAGGGGAGCCACTGGATTTGAATCAAAGCTGCCAAATCAACGAGAGAGAGTGAACGTGTCTCTCAGGAAAAGATTGTATGTGTTCACAAAGTAGCCATTATCTGTCATTAAATCTGGCTCTGGGTCACAATCTGCACATTTTGGCACACAGCACCAAACAGGCTTGACACAAAGCTTAAGGCAAGAGAGCAAACCTCACGAGACAGAAGCACCTTAAAAATCAGTTCTATGTCTACTGTAGCATCCCCAAGTTACAGATTCTTGTAGATCCACAAACACTGGCAATAAACAAGTTCCTTCACAGCTTCATTTGGTCAGTGGTGAAAATACTCACACAAACACACCCTGTGTGTGTTTCTTAATGGCTTTAGCTTACTCTTATCCAGTGATTGAATCTGGTAAAGCTGCATGGCAGTTAAATCTGACATAATACCAGGCTGCCCCCTACGGGCCGAAGACTGGCACAAACATTTAGACTTTGGAAACGAGGAAGAAAAAAAGAGCTCCTGAGTTGTCCCGCTAAACACTGCCTGACAACCACATACATGAGTTGTTTTGCTGGTGATATGATCTGCACAGTGTCTCCTGATTTTCATTGTGATATTTGAAGCTCAATTTGAGAAAGTCCAAAAAAATCCCTGCTTTTTAAACTGTGTTCGAAGCTTCCTGGCTAAAAGTTCAAACGACTTTCAGGTTATTGAAACAAACAAATGGGGTGATTCCTCTGTTGGAACCATTAAAACAGGCACGGCTAGGGATGGCTTCATAGTGTAATATCTTCTGCCCCGAGAAGGCATTGAATTTAAATATTTCTACCCTACTTTTTCTCCCCACCCCCCAAACTCCTTCATCTTCACCTCAGCTCTTCAACAAATCTCCGAGGTCATAGGTGTCGAAGAAATCTGACACTCCCTCGCCATCCTCCAGGCTCCAGAGGTAATCGTCGTGGTCCAAAGGTGGAGAGAAGCTGACGAATGGGGTGCTGGCGTCTGGATTGAAGGAGGCGCAGGGAAGCTGGTCCTCAGTGATCTGAAGTAGGCTGGGGGGCAAACCCAGGAGACTCTCTACGTCAAGCACAGAGGAGCCGGGGGTTGTAGTTGAGGTGGCTGGAGCTGCTGAAGGTATTTTGGCTGTGTTTGAGGAAATAAAAAAACCAAAGAGAGGTTGGAAAATATTTTTATGTTAAGTGTGTGTTTATACTGCAGGATGCTTTACAAAAAAGTTTTAGTTGCTGTACCTCTAACACTTTGCCTGAGGATCGAAACTTATGCTGTAAGCTAAAAACTTAACCTGAAATATCCCTCGAATGATTCAATCTTTGTTTTCATGTTTTTTATTTTCTTCTTCAGGGTTTTTCAGCTTTGTGGTTTGCAAACTTTTTTATTCACGCTTCTCATTTTATCTTGCTCTTGTGTACACTAACTCTCACTGTTATATTGTTTCTATTATTATAGAAAAATAAAATTTAGCTGACAGGTCTATTGATTAAGAATGTTAAAGAAACTTTTTTGTTTTTGCAAAATCACAAAACAAAATACCAGCACTTCTAAAGTTGGCTAATTGACATTTATCTAATTTTGTTTTACTTGTGCACAAAGAGAAAAAAACCACACAACAGTTCATTTGTTGTTGTTGACATGACATTTTGTTATTTTTCTGAGGCTAATTGCCACCAGGCAAGTGGTAATGATCTTCTATGCTGTTGCAAGTTTCAGCTGGAAATAATTTACATGCATTTTACAAAATGCTATTTTGGGCTTCTTATGTTTTTTCATAGTTTGCTTGCTCACAAAGATGATGGTTTGTAATCAAAATATGGTGAACTGTCACCCAGCCTTTTGTGTGTACAAATTGAGTAAAGTCAGTAAAATCCTGTTATATTAGAATCTCTAGCTTACATTCAACAGGTTCCTCTTTCATGCTGTAAGTTGGCATTGCCACCGGTGTTGTAGCTGGAGGGGCGAGGGGTTGAGGGAATTCCTTTTTTGGCGTGACAACACTCTTGACAGGGCTGGCGTCTTCAAGACCCTCCTCAGGACACAGGTAGACTTCTATGGGGCCATTTCTACTCTTCAAATAGATCTGTAACGACCCCTGCTGTAAGGAGACAGGGGACAACAGATACTGTAAAGCTTGCAAAGTCTGTCTGACGTCAGCATTGACACACAATAAAAAAAATTACATGGGAGTGCTGTCTTAGGAAGTGAAAGAGGTGAGAGGGAGGAAACAAGAAATAAAATTCAAACAAAGAGCCAGTCTCACCCCTGCTGTGTCTGGCACCTCCAGCTTTGTCTCAGCGGGGGCTTTGACCGCAATGACCGTTTGGTCTCGGAGACTGGCGATGGAGCGGATGTCCTGGTATGTCACGTAGCCCAACGTACGGTGCAGGGTCAAGGGTATCAACAGTAAGAATGATAGAGATGTATGTGCGTAACTGGACAGAGGATGACCAGAGAATTCGATGAGCACGACGCTCTGTGTAAAGGATATCTCTGGCTGTCTTTATATTCAGTGAGCTGCTTGAGCTGTGTGGTGCTGGACTGAATCAGGTCATCCAGAGATCTCTCGGCTCTCTCCAGGTCTCCCAGCTCTTTCCTCAGGGCACAGGCCTTCTCTCCTCCACCTGCACCACCTTCAAATACATCTCCAACCCTAGAAAACAGACACATGCACAGTTTTAGAGTCTTGTTAGTGACAATAAGAACTCCACACTGTCGGGTAGCATTAAGATCGATTCATGCTTCCCGTGACCACAAAGATATGCCCAAGTCAGTCAATATCAATGTATATTTATTGTTGTTGTATATATACACAATGGAATTGAAAGTGTAGTCTTCATCTGTGCAAAAGAGCATCAAAAATAGCTTAGAAACACCATGTAAAAAAAACTATAAAAACAATAATACATAACCCACATACACAATACATTCCCAAAATCAGTTTGCACCATTTCCTGAAAAGTCTGTGATCCATGTGCAGCCCAAAATGTGTGACCGTGCGGACTGTTCGCATTGGAAGCAAACCAACTGCACATGTGCCAGGAAAACTGTGCACAGGAGATTCCCATCATCCACATCTTTATAATTCATTGCTAAAAGCGTTTTAACTGAAATAGTCACCGCCACTTTGGAGGTGCTTTGACTTGTACATGTTTTCCATCAATGGTGCCTAAAGACATCCATCCATTATCTACACACCGCTTAATCTTCACTAGGGTCGTGGGGGGGCTGGAGTCTATCCCAGCTGACTTAGG